CAAACCCTTAAGGTCATAAAAAAACAACATTTCCGTTGTGCCAAGGCACTCATTCAACCCTATTATCATGAAAATAATTAACACCATTAACAATTAGGTATCGGGCTAATAATGCTTCTTTTCAATGTTGATTTGTTGTTGCGCCGTGAAGTCTAACTTAAGTTGCATTTGGATGATGTTGAAATGTGTCGTACTTTGGTAGATCTCAATTTCAAATGCTATATGTTATAAGCAACAAGAAGAATTGCTCGATTCCTTACCAAATATTTGTATGTCATCTGTGTGACACATTGGAAAACATTAAAATGTATGACAGGTAATACACGTACGGGAAGAGAAATTTCACTTCTAATCAAATTGAAATTCATCAAGGCATGTTTACATATAAAGAAAGGATTTGAAAAAATGACTATTATTCTCACTTGTGTTTATTAACAACCAAAAATTAGAAAGAATACATAGATGCACATTTATTTTGCATATCTCATACTTGAAAGTTCAAGGTATTAGATTACCAAGTGTTGTTTATCTCATATTTATTCTTTCTTATTCTCATCCCTTCGTATCCAAAATTCATTCTCATGGTAAGTAAATATGTTATAAAGTATATCAGGGTATGTAAATTATTAGTATAGTATTATCTTATGCACAGGCGAAGCAAAATTATGTATGGGAAGTTACGAAATCATCCTTTAAGCTACTACATTAAACTCATTTGAGACACAAGATCGATAGACGATCCAACAATTATAAAACAACAACATTAAAAAGAATGTAATTTCTTAAATTTGAAGACCCATAATGTAATTAACAAAGAAAGTAATTCTTAAATCTGAAATCACACATTCAAACACATCTATTGTATTTATTGGAATTTTTTGCTAAAGTTTCCAACCAATTATATTATTACACATGGTGTACCAAACCGTGTTCTCTGACACATTAAAAAATCCCTCCTATCTTCAAGGACACGCATGTCCCAAATTGATTGCCAAAAAACAAGGGCAATGAGCCTATGATGATGACAAAAATCATGACTTCATATGGTCACACACCTACTAAATTAAAAGTGCTAAAATACAATCAAGATAACGGAAAGAACGAGAAAATTCCAAACAATACAAGAAAGGAAAGAGCTCTAACTACGTCAGTATGAAGATAAGTATTCTACTATCAAAGTTATAAACCCGATTCAACTTCATGGTCACTACACTAATAATAATCATAATCTTGATGATCACTTAATCATGCACCTTTGGCACTTAGTTGTGCCATTCAGCCATGAAAACCTATATACCTTCTAATGAAGGCAAATTGAGGAAACAAGTAAATCAAAACCCTTTTATTTTGTGGATCATGGAATGCTAAATGTAGCACTCATATATCCTTCGATGAAGGAAATATTTGTGCTCACCATGCATGTGACATACTTCACTTGGTTTAGTAAGATCTAACTAATTATTAACTTCCTCAACCAGAATACTTTAAGCAGCACGTGGTTGTTCTTTACTGTTGAGGGTTGATGTTCTCTGGCTACTAATTCAATTCAGTCTGCCATCCAAAGCTAACATTGGGTCACCTCATAAGTACATTTTTTTTTTTTTACCAAACATATTTAATTTGTCACTCGTTAAGTGTGCAGTCAGATTCTCTATATATACTAGGTTCAACACATTTTTGTCAGGTGACAGAAGGTTTGCAAGGCTAAGGGGAAGTAGCTAGCCTTGGGGAAGAAGTACATATGTGGTCCAAACCTAAACCCTAGCATTGCAACATACAAACATGAAATAATAATTATAGGGTTTGTTTGATGTTAAGGTTTGGCTTGACTTGGACATTCACTAAATTCAGTTATGTTGAATAGAAATATGAATGTCAACTTGTATATTTTGTTCAAGTGAAGGGTAGAAGATGAATAAGTCATGAAGAAAACTTGTTTCTCTTGATCTATCATTTTTAGTGAAGGGTAATAGATGGATAAGTCATGAAGAAAACTCATGAAGTAAACTCGTCCCTCTCAATTCTATCATATTTTGTGAGCTTAATAGAGATAAGTATCCTTGATGACCTTTCAATATTCTACCTTCATATGAACAAAATATGCAAGTTATTATCCATATTTTCATTTAACATTTCTTTAATTTCGTTTCACAAATCAGTCAAATCTACTTGTATTATTGTCATTCAAATTCATGTGGAATCTTCATATATTCTTTTTGGCCTGATATGATTATATATTTTAGTGGAGAGAGGATCCTCCTCGGATTCTCTTTGTGAGGACGAGGATCTCGTAGTCCTCCAATCACATCCGTTTATCGTATATTGTGCGGTCAGTTTTTATCAAGTACTGTTTATATTCAATTTTAAATAAAAAAAATTTACAATGATTTATAACTGAAAGATATATGATGAACATATATGATTGGAAGATTCCCAAGATCTTTAAAAAAAATAATCCAGCAAGGATCCACCTAGATTTTAGTGAACCAAATAAATGCAGAAATGCTAGGTAGGTTGGTCATCAAGACTCAAAAGAAGAATGTACGATCAAGAGATGCTGCATAATTTGTAATAGGGTCATTTCCCTCCCGTTTAGATGTAATTACAACTTCATACCTTATTTTTAAAACATTACAATATTAGACACGTAGTTGTATTTTAATTGTAATATTTTACATCCCTTAATCAGTCTGTCAAATCAAGAATTAAGTGACGTGGTTAACGTAAATCCCACATTTTCGCTTACATGAATACCACTTCCGCTCCACGTGGACAAACAACAATAAAATAATTTAACAGTTTGCAATCTCTTTGGGTTCAATTATAATTTCTTACTTCATCTTGCAATTAATGGCATACACAAACTTAGGATTTCATAACAATATCTTACAGCCGTTATATTATCTGTTAAATTGGTTGTTAACTGATATCGTGATAAATGCAAAATCCACATTTTTTGACGTGGATATCCAAATTAGCACAAAGAGACAAAATGATGCGGCTTTGCCGCAGAGCATGTCTAGAGATTTTTGAGACCTAGGGCGACGTAACAAAATTTGCCCTCACTTCATATAAAAAAATTATTTGTTTTCATACATAAGACATTGATAAATTATATTTAGAAAAATACTTCAAACTCAATAATTTAGAAACATGGAATAACTAATTTATTTTGTATCAAGAGAAGGAAACCAAAAAACTTTGGACTTACAAGTAGATAAATTATGAGTTTTGCTTTCCATCTGAACTTTTAAAGTGTTTTTGTATAAATCGTGAGATATTTTTCTTATTTGCTAACCTCGTCAATATAAGACTAAAAACATAATAATGTTTTCGAGTCTTTAAGGATATGTATAAGTATAAGTAATGAAGGAACACTAATTAAACCTTTTGATGACACATAATATTATTTGCAAATTTGATCTCAAAATTTAGTCTGCGCGTTACTCTTTGTTGAAGATTAGACTTGAATTGGAACATATGTTTAAAACTAGCCAACCCATATAGCTACTAGCTAATAAATAAATTAACAACCAAACAAAAATTTGTAAAAATTGAAAAAAATAAATAGCACATAGCATTTTGAACTAATTAGGATCTCTTGTTAATTTTAAACAACAAAAAGCATTGCTTCTAATTAAACTTCTTGATCATTTAGCCAAATTTTACAAATTTATACTATTATGAAAAGAAATATGTAAAAATTGGAATGTAAATAAACACACATGGTGTTTTGAACCATAAGACCTCCTTATTAATTTTAAACAACAAAACCACCAATTCTAGTTAAATTTCTTTGTCATTAAACCAAATTTTATAAATTTATACTCTTATAAAAACATATATAAATATACTACTCTAGTAATTTTGGTGCCTCTAATTTTTTTAGGCCCCAGACGGTTGTCCTACTTGCACTGAACCTGGGTCAGCCCTGCTTCACTGGCAAGAGAGGAAGAAAGGAACCTCATCGGAGTTGAGGAAGAACACTGAAGCCCACTGGTTTGGGTGGTTGCGTTGAGTGGCTATAGGAAAGTTTCGGAGGAGGTGTGTGTGGCTGCTGCTTCTAAGGTTGCTCGAGACGACGTTGTCACAAATTAATCGACCATTCGAATTGGGACATTTCTGCTGCTGCTAAACGCTAGCAGCCCTGCCTTTGGCGGAGATGAAAGTGACAAGGGAGTGATATTGTAAACGATTATCTAACAAATGTATGACATTATTATTAATTAAATTGGAGCTCAATGTATGACATTGTAATATTTTAAAGTTGAGGTATGAGATTGCAATTGCACTCAAAATTAATGGTGCAAATTATAATTTACCTTTCGAAATAATTGTTGTTAGAACATATATAAAAAGGTCAATTTCTTGGTCAAGTTTCACATATATGAACTATATATTTGTAATTTCACATGATAAAAAATAAAATTCATTAGCATTATTTCTCTTTACTTGTAAATTAAATATCTGTTCAACAAGTAATGCACATTTATTACATTTTTCATATCACAGGTGGATTTCATATCTATTAGAGAAATGGTAAAATTGTAATATGAAAAATTATGGTAAGCGTAATATTTTTGTTTGAGATTTAAATATTGACTTTGCCCATTGCCCCACCCAATCTTAAGACGAAGATTAGCGTTCACTTTTTATTTAACATTGCCCTGCGAATTAACATTGTCACCTAGCATAATTAACAAGCTGCTGGATGAATTCTTGAAAATATCTTCTGTACTTTTTAGGCACATTCTGAATGAAATTTTATTTTCATTAATAATTCACTAAAGATGGAACAGTAGTAGAGAGTAATATGGGTTACTGAGATTAATAAAGACGACAGGAACATTAACTATCTAGGAAGACACAAGTGAAATAACCCTAGCTTATGATCTCTGTCACATAACTAACTTAACTGCCAAACACACTTCAACAGCTTAACTCAAACAAATTAAACAAAGAAGTAAACATTAATAATCCAAACGTTTTAACTCAAGTGTTCAAGGGGAAGGAAGAACACCACTTCCACCACCAAGACCACCCAAGCCACTTGTTCCTCCCAGTCCACCGAGACCACCCAAGCCGCCAGTGCCTAAACCACCAAAACCGGGTAAGCCGCCACCACCACCACCACCACCCAAGTCACCGATTCCACCACTCGCACCACCAAGTCCTCCAAGGCCAGCAGCACCACCTATCCCTGCAGCGCCGCCACCAAGCCCACCAGGAAGATTGCCACCAACTCCAGCCCCAGCTCCAGCAAATGGAAGCCCACTGTCTCCAACGCCTGAGAAGCCACCAACTCCACCAATGACGTTCTTTTGGTCTTTGAAACCGGCATCATTTAGCATAGGTACATTTCTAGCTGTAGTGTGACCTACAACTAGAGCAAGAACCACCACAATGCACCACCTTGCCATCTCTCTCTCTCTCTCTCTAGATTTTTCACTGCTTTTTGGTGTCTCTAGCTCACTTGATTTAGAAGAGAAGTGTTGAGGGGTTGCTTTTTAAAGGCAGGAAGAGCGGTGGGGGGTAGTTGTGTGTAGTAAATAAAGTTTAATTCACAAGACAGGGGCTTTAATTTTGGTAGCTAAACTAGCTAGCTAAGCTGTTAAATACTTCTGAGGCTGACCATAACCTTAGTGATAAAGCTTAAAACTGCTTAACCATTTTACTACGAGATCAATAATTCAACATATGTTCGAAGTTTGAACAAAACGAGGAGCATATGTGATGACCTGCTTTGATACATGTTTTGATCAAAACATGAAAAAAATCCAGTCATTCACTCGGCATTGCACGTTGAGAGTGTGAATTTCACATGAGACAATTAAGGAACTTTGCACTTGTTTATAAGGAGTTGAGCTACTCCACATATTAACGGTTAGTTTCTATAGTGGAACCTCAACTGCCTTTATAGTATTATAGCATATTAACGCACCAATTAATGTCATTTCTTATATTACTGATTAGTTTTATAATGAAATCTCAACTTGTGAATCCCACACATTGGTGTAAATTTTTGCAAAATCAGGTATCATGCTGTAATATTTGCTTGTTCAATTAGATGATGACATGTATATAGTTCGGAACTCGAGCTACCCTTCATTGTCAATTTTAATAATTGTGTTTTTCATATAAACTTTTGCGATTATTATTGTAATTTTAATTTTATGATTAATATCAGAGGGGTCCATCCCATGTTGCAGGTGAACTGATGCACGGACAGCTCGCTGCCTGACAGGAGTACTAGATGTGGACTCATGAATGAATGCTATAAATGAAAAATATAGACAGCGAAATTCATATGTGGCTTTGGATTTGAAGTTCGGCGAAAGTTGATATATAATGCACTGCCACCAGACTTTTGTATAGAGTTTTACTGAGCCTTGTCACTGATCTTCCTAACTGTTTCCAAATGTATAACCACTCCGTGATTTCCAACTACATTCATTCAAAGCACGTTCTAATTCACAGTGAGAAAATTGTCCTTCCATGTAGTTGGAACGAATAAAAAAGATCTGACTACTTTTGATCAGACCCAGCATCTTGTAGATCCTAATAGTCAAGAACTAAATAGAATTAAGCATGATATTAAAAGCATATTTTCCTGAAAAACTGAGTGGATTCTGAGTTTAAACACACCACCTGGTTGTTCTTTCAAATTACAAAATTAATTAAGTACTAGATTAAATTAGGCATGGTAGGAAAGTTAAGTAAATGTGTGCATTTTGACTTGGATTGCTATTGCCTATGTGCTTTGGGTTTGTGAGTGTTTTTGAGAATGTATTCAGCAATGTGAAAAATATCTATGATAAAATATAAAGGATGTTTTTCTTTATCTTAAATGTTGGTAAGGGGGAACAAAAGTGTCATCTGGTGTTATAGGAACTCTTCTAATGCTTTTTCCAAGAAGAGGAAATTGTATCAAGTGGTTTTACAAGTAGTATCTTCATGTGAATATGTAGAAAAGTAAACTTAAATAGGCTGAGTTAAGTTGGTTAGGACAGTGCATTTCCATATCTTTGCTCAAGTTTGATCTTCCATCCCACAGTTAAATAAATTATTGTCTGTCCAAAAAAAAAAAAAATTATTCCACAAATTTTCTATATTTGGTTCTAACAAAACCGTTTCGCACACAAATGGACCTATATCCTTGCATAGATAAACCAGTTACCACTACTTTATTAGCCCATGTTTAAACAAATGAAAGCACAGCTGCCCCACTTAAGTGGGTCTGGGCTCTAGCGGGATAGAAGAAACTTGTCATCCTGTATTCCAATTTTAAAGAGGACTAATAAAAACAGCACACTCCAGCTCCTATATCAAGCTCCTTAGGAACAAATTAAAAGAGAAAGGTAACCGGAAAATTATTACCATAGAATTTCATAAAGTATTTGTTCAAGAACATAATTGTTAGCTCGGCTCGAGCTCAACGATGAGCCAGAATGGAGCGGAATGATGACATAAATCCACTTAGGGCACGTTTACGTACCTGTAATTGTAATCAATTTACAGAATTGGATTCCGCTTACGGGATACACATTTGTTTACGTAATCTTGGAGAATCAAAGTACATGTGAGGTCCATACGCATTAAGGAATCTAACTCCTGATTTTGGAAGAATTGGACTCCCTAGATAAGGAAGGTAATTGAATTCCTGGATTGGTGAGGAATCCGGATTCGACTTCTTTTATCAATTATGCACTCACTTGGTTTTTATTATTCCAATACTGCCCTTCATCTCCTTCACCAACCATCTCACTCCCGACCATTCTCCCTCTCCATCTCCCTTCTCCACCACCCTTCTTCATCATTATTGCACAACCAATACCTTGCCCAGGCCACAAAACATTTGCAACCCAAATTCGTCAAATCGCCTCATCCCCACTACCTGATATGACCGTCGAATCACTCCGCCCAAAACCCACCAATTGATTCCATAACACCAAAACCTCAGAAAGAAATAGGCACGAGCAAACGAATTTCTTCGAATTTCTAGGTTCTTTCTTCTGCGGGGTTGGAAGGTCTTGATAGCTCTGAAGGTTTTTGGGTTCTTTTGCGGAGTAGGAAGATGATTGTGGCTAGGATTTTGGCTTTTAATTAGGTTATAATCTAATTTATACACAATAAATCAATAATGGACATTTTAACTCTACTTTAATCAAATAAATAAAAATTTCTAATTAAAATGTTTTAGACATAAATATAAAATAAACAAAAAAAAAAAAAACACAAGGGCAATTTAGTAATCATATTGATTTCTATTTCGATTCAGTTGAATTAGTAAACAACTTAGTTTCATTCTTATTTCGATTTCTGAACATTTAAGTAAACAGATTCAACATGAATTTAATTCTGACTCATCTTAATTCTAATTCCCCTTCAATTCAATTTCTCCTCAATCAAATTCCTCTCATTTTGATTACAGTTACGTAAACGTGCCATTAAACCCTAACTTAAGTTGAAGGAAAACCACCGCCAATTATCTTTCTAATTAACCAAAACCTGTGCTGTCCTTTCTTTCTTGGAATCTGCCAGAATTCTCCGTAAGATCAATTTCACCCATATCACCCTTGTTCCTAAACTGAGCAAGCCTAGGGACATGTTGCAAATTCGCCCTATTAGCTTATGCAATGTGCTATATAAAATTGGTTCTTGTGAATCGGCTTAAGCCCATCAGGCTGCGTAATATCTCCCAGTTTCAAATTGTTTTTATCCCGGATCGTCTAATCTCGGACAACACCTCATCTCAACTGAGGTTGCTCAAACCTTATTTTAGAGGAAAAAGGGTAAGAAGGGCTTCATGGCTGTCAAGCCCGACATAAGTAAAGCTTATGATCACATCGAATGGGGCTATCTCAGGGTTGTTTTATCGAAGTTGGGTTTCTCCAGTCGGTTGGTCAATCTCTTGATGTATGTGTCTCTTTGATGTCTTATTCGGCAATAGCGAATGGCTTCCCATGTGGTTATATTCATCCTTCGCGTGGGCTTAGGCAGGGAGATCCCCTGTCTCCCTACCTATTTCTGTTTTGCGATGAAGGATTATCCGCCGTGATTGACAAAAAACACCACGAAGGCTCATACAAGGGATGGGGATCTCTATCTGCCGGGGTACTCCGCCGGTGCATTATTTACCATTTGCTGACAATTGCCTTCTTTTTGCTCGTGCTTCTGAGAATGAATGACAGTCTCTTAACGAGACGCTCGCCTACTATGAGGGTGCTTTGGGCCAGCACGTCAACCTGATCAAGAGTGCCGTGTGTTTCAGTAGAAACGTCAAACAGCCTGAACAGATCCTGCTAGCCGAAATCCTTGGTGTGAATAAAGTGGATAGACACGTTAAGTATTTAGGCTACCCACTATGGTTGGAAGAAACCGTGATGTTTGCTTTGGTCATATTAAAGAGAGACTTTGGAAGCGTCTCCAAAACTGGAAAGGTAAGCTAGTGAGTTCGGCAGAGCGTGAGCTGCCAATTAAGGTTGTTGCCCAGGCCGTTCTGTTATACACCATGAATTGCTTCCTGTTCCCCTAGTATTTTTGTGACGACCTTAATAAATTGGTGGCAAAATTTTGGCGGAATGGGGCGGACAAGGCTAGAAAAATCCATTGGGTAGCCTGGGAGAAACTTTGCCTACCAAAAACTGAGGGTGGCTTGGGTTTCAGGAACCTCTATGGTTTCAACCTTGGCTCATTGGCCAAACAAGGCTGGCGGCTCGTTCACGATCAGTCCCCCCTGGTGGCTAAAGTTCTCAAAGCCAAGTACTTTCCCAACTCTTCCTTTCTGGAAGCGAAGGTGTAGGATGAATGCATCTTACTGTAGGCATAGTATTTGTTCTGCTAGACATATCATTGAGGCGGGATCCATATGGCAAATTGGGACGCGAGCAGATGTTGACATTTGGGCAGATCATTGGGTGCCCCTCCCTTCCAGATTTCAGATCTTTTTCCCCTAAGCCCAGCGGTTATCTCCTCAGGTCGGTTGATCATCTTATTATGGATCAACAGTAGGATATCTGCCTTATTCGCTCCCTGTTTTCGGACATCGAGGTGGAGGCAATTCTCTCCCTCCCTCTTAGTGTTTGAAAACCCAGTGATTACCTTATTTGGCACTTTTGTTCCAATGGCTTATTCACGGTTAAAAGTGCATATCATGTGGCACTGAACTAGATCAATCGGAATTCCTCGTCTGCTGTGGGTCCTTGACTGGTCCTAGCATATCAAAACTATAGAAATGCATTTGGAATGCCCAAGTCCCCCCTAAGATCAACATCTGTGCCTGGCAAATCTGCAACAACATCATCCCCACCTGGGCTAACCTCGTTCGAAGGCATATTGGCTCTAATCCGTTTTGTGTTATGTGCAATTCCCCCTGTGAATCTTCCCTCCATTTGATGTGGGATTGTCCATTTGCAATGGT